AGAATTAATTTATTTTTTTACTGTAAATAAATTATTAATAAAAGTATTTATAGCAGTAGTTTAATAAAAAAATATTAAAAATTAATAATATTATAATAAAAATAAATTATATTATAATATTTTTTATTATTAATAATGCAGTATTAAGCATAGTATATTATAATATTTTTATTTATTAATAATAATATAAGTATACTTTAAAGGGGTTAAAATTTTAAAATAATAAAGGTATATAATAAAATATAGGTATTTAATTTTATATAGGATTTACACTATAAAGCTAGGTATCTTTATTTTTTTCCCAATCATCAAACATTTTCCTTATTAGCGTACCCCCCGTGCTATATGGAGCATGCACGGGGATTTGGCTGATTTTAAAGCCCCCCTAGTAGTACTACTAATCTATCCAAGGCACTTGGATAACAATCCATCACAACTCACCAATCAGGTGGAAGTCCCTGATTATATAATGGTGATGCCATAGTGCCAAACCAGACTCATAACCGCCAATCCTTTTATCCAAGGCTATCCATTTCATCGCACAAAGTCTTGTCGCAATTATTATCATTAAGCAATACCCCTTCCTAAAAGAATTTCTGATCTTTCTTTTCTTTTTCAACTTCTCAAATTAGTCTTTTCGAAATGCAAGAGTTTCAACTTCCAGAGTCCCCAAAATTCATAATCGTACAAGCAAACACGTTCCAGACATGCGATATCCCGTTCCCAGAAACAAAGGAAATGTAACAAAACAAAGGAAATTCGTCAGCCATATGTGCTTCCTGCGCTAGTAGAGAGAAAATTCCCAAGTCTAGAACAATCCGTGTCGCCTACTCTGCTGCTTGCCAGAGCGACTTGAGCCGTGGTGATGACCATCTGAATTGACTTGGCCCATCTCAACATCATGTGGACGAGTCTTGTTGCGGCCAAGATAGCCACGGTCATCGCGGACCCGGGCGGCATCGGGGGCTCTCGGCTCCTTATAATGCCGGTCATTATACTGAGATGGAGACTCTCGGCGAGACGGAGGGTTCGACTGATATTCGGGAGGATCCTCTCGCTGGATCCTGTCGTATTCTTCAGCGCTGCTGGGATCAATGGTTGGGATTGGCTGGCCGCTCTTTCGCAATTCCTTTTTGCCCTTTTGACGTAGGTGCTCCTCAAGCAGTGCTGCATTGCGGGTGTTTGCACGGAACAACGCGTCGGCCAGATCACCAAGGAATGGAACCAGCCCAACGACGAAATCCAGAATGATGTTGATCAGCATATGGATCCTCACGGAGGTTGGGAGACCCCCTTCCACTTGACAGCATGTCCTGTACACCATGAATGCCATGAAGGCATCGAGTGCATCGCCAGCCCTGTGATGAAATTAGTTAGCAATGAGTCTTCTCGAACAGTGAAAGACAACGGCGACTTACGCAGGGACCAAACCGATAACGCTGCTCCAGCCAAATCGGATCCCCAGAAAGTTGAAAAGGGACATGTCCAGACGATATGCTCGTCGCTTGACTTTGGTCAAGACTTGGCCATCGTGCTCTGAGATGCCTGGCGGCAGGGCCTTCTTGCGCTTCTTGAATTTGCCAGTAGGCCGCCCGTCGAGCCTGGTTGCTGGGACCTGCTCAAAGTACGGATCCTAGAAAACTGCCGTGTTAGCATGTCGTGATCAACCGATTTATCGTGGGTGCATGGAAAGCAGCGGGCTTCATCTTACCTCTTTGCCAAATTTGTTCTGGAGCGACTCTCCCAGAATCTTCTTGCTGACCATCTTCGCTAATACGTTCGCCATCTTTGCGGTTGTTCGACTTGTAGTGCGAGGAAAAATAAGATAAAAAAAATCCTCAAGTTCTAGGAAAGGCGAGAAATTCGCTATTTATGCTCTTCTTTCGTCAAAAATAGCAGCAATCAAACAAAGGGCTGTCGACAACCGGATGCTTCTGTTCAAGTCGACTGGAGAGGCGCTTGCTGTCGTTTGTTTCAGAAGCCGCCCTTGAGCGCCAAAAGCTGTTTTTAGAATACAGGCTCTGGCAGCCAACCAAACAAGGTGAGACACGGCAGTCAGTAGCACTAATAAAACTTGGGCGGCTCTGCCGTGCTTGCAGTGAAAAATAAAGTAGGAAAAGAAAGGAAAAAAAAAAAAAGAGAGAGAGAGAAACAAGTCTGACGCAGTGGTTTTATGTACTCGTATGTCATTCAACACCGTCACTCTGAAGTGTCTGCAGTGAATGCCAGATGGCGTCGCTCACATGGCATAGCCCAAGAACCTGTTTTTGGAAACGGTCCGCTGGCTGGACCAGGCTCATGATGTAATTCAACTGCTGTTCAGCAGGTGAAGGTGCTGGAAAGGTGCTGAATCGGCGCCGCTCGACCAATGACACGTCGCGGCAGTGGTCCTAGCAGCCGCTAACAGGCCCTTGTTACAGGGGAAAACTTTTAGCGGCCGTTGTTGCTGGCTGCCTCTGACGCCTTTCCATTTTTTTCGCCACGGCGGCCTCGCAGATCTGGAGCCAGAGAGCCAAGATAGGCGAGCGTAGCACCGCCACGCCGATGCGAGCCACATGGTGGCTGTGCTGTTGGGCAGCGTGGCTGGAGCTATAATCTTTGGCTGAGTAGCCCAAGCACACTGTGTGGCTGCAGTGGCGCCACTAAAAACAACGCTCAAGTCCCCTCAGCGCAGACAGTGCGAAAGCCACCCATCCATCATCCAGCAAACAGTGGCTTGATGTACGGCCGCAACGGCCATTTTGCCTCTGCCTCTGGCATCTGATAGCCTCTGCATCTCTGTTGTCTCGGCAAACCGCATCGCAGCCCTCGCCAAACCTCCACCAGCGCAGTCATTGTTTCCGCCTACTCTCGGCTTTCGAACCGTCTGACGATAGGCCGGGCCATCTCGCAATCGCTTGCTGTGGCTGAAGCGCGCGTCGCGATCCATTCCTCAGCTGCTGAACTTCGGAGCGTTTGACCATGCCCAGCATCCTGTCACATGTCCGAACCGCACTCAGCCTGGCCAAGTCGTGAAGATCAAGTTGTCTTATCATTATTATTAATCAGAGCATGGGGCTGAGCTGAACACTATTCAACAAACGGCAAGAGAGACAAAACATGGCTCAGAAACAGATGCAGCTGGAAGACTGTATGGCAACCCCACCTTGTCAACGTGCTCCAAAGGCTGCGAGATGCTGATCTGTTCTAATTCTAATAGGGCTGGACGATCTCTGCGTCCGGTTCATCATCAACCTTCCCCAGGAAGACTTGTCTTCGGTTGCCCGATTGTGCTTCCAAGTTGAAGAGGCACAATGGTTCTACGAAGATTTCATCCGGCCGCTCGATCCGACCCTCCCGTCCATGACACTGCGCACATTTTGTCTACGAATCTTCCAACACTGCCCGCTGCTAGCCTCGTTTTCGGTCGAGAACCATATCAAGGCATTTGAAGAGTTTTTGCAGTACAAGACTCGCGTGCCGGTCCGCGGTGCCATCATGCTCAACCAAGACTTGGATTCAGTAGTTCTCGTCAAAGGCTGGAAGAAAGGGGCCAGCTGGAGTTTCCCTCGAGGCAAGATCAACAAGGACGAAGATGATCTAGACTGCGCCGTCAGGGAAGTCTACGAGGAGACCGGCCTGGACCTCCGAGAGGCTGGACTGGTACCAAACGAGGGTAAGCCTATATACATTGAAATCCCTATGAGAGAGCAGCATCTTCGCCTATATGTCTTTCGAGACGTCCCTATGGATACGGTATTCCAGCCTCGAACCAGGAAAGAAATCAGCAAGATTGAATGGTACAAGCTGTCCGATCTACCTACGCTGAAGAAGAAGGGCCCGCAAAACAATAACCACCAGTATGATTCCAGTGCCGGGACCAACGCCAACAAATTCTACATGGTTGCCCCATTCTTGGTCCCTCTGAAGAAGTGGATCGTTAGTCAGAAGAAGAACGATGCGAAGAGAGCAACGGGTGGTGTTCCGCAGGCGCATCCTGTCCGCCACCATCAGCATATGCCGATTGAAGAGGATCCTACCGAAGATGAGGCATGGGCTCCCAACAATGTTCCCGCTGCTGCGCCTACGATTGAATCCCTTGATGGAGCCACCCGGGAATTGCATCGCCTGCTAAACTTGCAGCCATCTGCTCAACCGTCCATTGAGCCAGCCGTTCAGCCATCTGCTCAGCCATCCGCTCCACCATCTATTGAAGCGTTACTTGCACAAGCACAGGCTTCGCGAGCACAAACTCAGCAGGCGCAAACTCAGCAAGCTCAGGCTATACAGACAACCGCCGCTCCACCATCTATCGAAGCCTTGTTAGCCCAGGCACAAGCTATGCGAGCACAAAATCAGCAAGCTCAGGATATGCAACAACCTACGTCAGTCGCTTCAAAAGACAAGGGCAGTGCACTACTATCTCTTCTCCAATCCCCTAGTTCGTCACAGCTACCAAACGCACTCTCGTCTCTCAAGCTAGCGGAAGCAGGGCAGCCTCGAAACGCCCAAGCCAATGCCAATGCTATGCCTCAGCTTATTCCCAACAGCCACTCACAACCTCCCAACTTTGCTCCACCTCCGCACCAATCATCTGCTGCATTGAACCTCTTGCAAAATTTGAATGGAGGCGTGAGTAACGGAGCACCGCGTAACTACCCTGCTCACCCTGGACATACTATCACGACACAGCAAACTTTTACTGCAACCTCTACCATCAAGGCAGATCCATTGCAGCCACCTCGTATCCTCCAGAGAGGAGAGTCTCTGGAACAGGCCCAGCCAGCTGGCCCAGCAGAACAAGCCAAGCCCAATTTTACTCCATTCGCAGGGCTTTACGACAATCTAGGACAGCCCCGGCCTGGACAAGTGGTCCAACCGTCGCCTTCTGCCCTGCCCATCCCCATGAGCTCTCAAACTCAAACAACGCAATATACGGCATCCAACTACAATTACAAGCCAAATGTGTCTCCGGAACAGAAGCGGGCGCTTCTCTCTCTCTTTGGAACGCCAGCCAAAGCTGCTGCAGACGCACAGCAATCTGGACCAGCTGCGAGCGGGCATTCCATGCCTCGGATGGGATCGATATCTGGACCGATTGCTGATGGGCAACGGAATGCGCCGCCATCTCGCAATAGCAATGCGACGCCGATATCGCAGGCCGACCAAAGCTTTTTGTTGGGTTATTTGCAGTCTGTGACGAAGAATGCTGCGCGTTAAATGGGACGAGCTGAGTCAAAAAGATGGAAATTTGCTGTGTCTTGAAGGGGTTTTTACACGAGAGAGGGCTGTAAGGGAGATGGGAGAAGGGACATTCTTTCAATCGGGGCTGTGATAGTAGCAGCGACTCAAAGCGAATTTGAATTAGCTTATTATTATAATTATCATCATCATTACTATTACTATGTGTGCTTTCTTGTAGGCGTCTTGGCTATTGAGGAGTAATCCATACTTTGATGTCTTTATAGTATTTGAGCATCTTTAGCAGCAAGCATACCTTTTAATTATGCTATGTAGTATAATAGTAGCTATAGCTTTAGTTTTGGGGCATTCGTTTCTTATTCAAAGCGATGGTGTTTTTCGTCCGAGGGGAACACAAAGAATTTCCCTGACGTGATTCTACGGCTAATAGCTCTCCCAATGAGAAAATATTTAATAATTCTGGGTCATCTCAACGCTTGAACTTTCTCGAATTCTATTTCCTTGACGATGTTTTGTCTATTTAGCAAATACTGCTCACGTAAAACGCCGCTTTGATGATTCTTCCCAGATGGAAGCATAAACAATTACTTCCAGAGAAGTTATTGCGTATATGCCGCCCTCTATTTATCTCGAAACTTTTATTAAACCACTCCAACTGATGCAATCTATTGATTAATACTTGGGTAGTCTATTCCTCTCATTCCCAAAGTTATCCGCAAACTGATGCTTTTACCAAAGAAAGAAACGACGATTTTCCCATCTGAATTTGATAACCATAACCGATGATCATAGTGAGTAGCCACTTCATTCTTCCTTGGAAGCGAGAACTTGGAAGCGGTTGGGCGTTCTGACCCTTACTTGACGCTGGGGGACGGCAGAGCTCGGGGCGCATTGGTCAGGCGTGCTGGGCATTTCGCTCAAAGGCTGGGCACACTCGTCGACATCCCACTCAATTCGGCTGGTTTTGTACTTGCTGCGAACAAACAGGATCAATAAAATGGGCTTTGAAGAAGCAATAGTAAGGAAGAGAAGAGAATTGGGCTTACAGCCGGCTTGTCATGCAGGTTCGCGCATACATGGCGCTCGCAACAGAGTTGGTGCCAATGTGGCAATCCCCACCTCGAAACTCGACGTTGACAACCTCGAGGTTGTGGATGTGTTCGAGATCCTCGCGGACAGAGGCTTCTGTGTGGTTGGGGCCGCATTTACGGAGGACAATGTTGCGAGTGACGCCTTTGGCGATTCGGTTGGCGTGATGGCCAGGGATGGTCTGGTAGCGTTGAGACCAGCGGATACCGACCTGGCATGTTTGGTTAATGGAATCACGACGAGAGAGATGTAATGGTTTGGAGGAGGCGCTCACTCTCTTGTTTTTGAGGAATAGGCCGTTATTACGAACGTGTGCAAAGTAAACCTCGGCAGATGCGGCCTCTACAAAGGTGATGGTGGCGGTAGCCGCGCCATGGGTGATGTAAAACTCGTACACCAATCCACCTCTAATAACGTCTGCGATATCGCTGTAAGTTGTTCCATCAGGTAGATTGACGAGGCGAACCGATCGCAATTGCTCGGGCGTACGAGGGAAGTCTGGCTTGGGCATGCTCGTAGCCCGGTCAGGAGGCTCGCTAGATGTTTCGTGTTCATCATTGACGCTGTCAATCCCGGGAGAGCTGATCTCGGCATAGCTGAACCCATCGTTTGCTGGTTGACTGCGTTGTGGTGGTGGTGGAAAGGGATAGATGCCAAGGTGGGCGCCAGGATCGACATACGGGCTGGAGGTGAACGAGCGACAGTTGATGGTACGAGGAGTGCTCGCATAGGAGACGGAATCGAAGTCGTTTGCGTTCGATTCGGTGGCGTAGAGGTCTTGGGCTGGGGAGGCGCTCGGATATGCGACGGCTTGTGAGCTCAGACAAGCATTGAGGGCCTGTTGGAACAAATTAGATCCTTCCAGGGGGGGACGCGGAAGCTGCAGAAGGGAATGCCGTGCTGACCTCGATGATTCTGACGTCCGTAATGGGAGTGCTGAGAAGGCAGCGGCAGAGATCGGCTGTTGGCACAATGTCAGCTGTGATGGAAGAGTTCTGGAGGAGGAAGAGAAGCTGCGTACAGTGGTTCTGGGCGGTTCGGACGAGATTCTCGTAATCTGCGCGAGGGATGGTCACGGTATCCTCTGGCAGAGGCTCGGCGAACTTGCGGATTGGATTGTTAGCGAACGGACCTGTTGTGTAACGGCTGGGGGGGCGGCCAATAGATGGCAGAGTTGGCTTGAACGTACGAAATTGCCACTATGGTGAGAGTCTGGTTAGCCAAGAGCACGGCCAAACAAGAAAAGAGAGAAAGCTGTTGGGTGGCAGCAGCTTGCAGATTCCTCTTTGTATGGTTTCTAGAACCTCTATGGAAGCAAGATGTAGCTTGAAGGACGGGAGAAAGGAAGAAGACGGAATGGAAGCTGAGCAGGATCCGACACTGGAGGAAGAAATGGCAAGGATGCAAGATGGGGGCTGGCTTACCGAAAGTCCTGCATGGTGAAGGTATTTGGTGGACGAGAGATGCTTGAGAAAAGGATTTGGCTGGGAGCAGACAAAGAATATATGCAGAGGAGTTCGGGCGTAAATTACTTGCACGGGTCGCTGCCAGCTGGCGGTTGCGTTTACAAAGAGAGGTGACAAACCACAGCACCGTTTGTTGCGGTGCACAGACTACCTATGGATGTCGAATTGCAGATTCAACATGGAAGGAAATTGGTTTGGAGGAAGAAATTCAGGAGCCGCCGATAAACACAAGGGCCTGCTCTCCAGACATTGCTGGAGAGGCTGTGGCTGGTTGTTTTGGGGGCCTTTACGCGGCATGCAAACATCGCGATGCCGTCAACAGCATCTTTGGCGATGGCTGCGTACTTGTCTTGTTCTTTCAATTGTCTTTTCCACCAGAAATGATACATTTGGACCTGTGAAAATCATTGATAAAGCCTTGCATATTTGACAAGGCAGGTTCTCGTGCTGGCTGCTCTCCAACTGGACATAAGGCGTTGATACAAATAACCGCGCCGTTCGTCTAAGCGGCATGCTGTTTCCTCTTTTCCCTTCTACAATTTTTTTTTTATCTCTTCTGCGCTCAGCGAATTCAACGTATGATTTATTATAGTTTCGTTTGATACGCCCCCTGTGCTCGCTTGAAACGGAACCTGGACATTTAGGCACATGCAGTTATTTGTTCGTGCCTTGCCAGCACCCGAGATCATGTAGCCGCCAACGCTAAAGCACAAGATTTCAATATCAAGGGAAAAGAGATGCACAGCCAAACGCCTCATCCCAATAGACAGCTTTATCTGCCATATGCCCCAGCATTCATTTGTAAACCCGTGCGGCTTGTTTTGTTTGAAGCGGCAAACGCCTTTCGCATGATGGGCATCTGAGTTTCATTTGTCACCACCATGATCTAGAGGAAACCCGTTATGTGCCTGCAATTCAACTAATACCACGTATTAGCAGCAATACATTCATCTACATGAAGCGCATGCAACTTGACTTGATGCTGCACTACACGCTACTGTTGGGAACCGTCCTTCAGCCGCAGCTCAGCCTCATGCTATGTGACTTCAATCCAAGACATCAAATGTCAAACGCCAAAAAGATTTAGTCCACGGAACATGATACAAAGTACATGTACATGCAGCCATCCCCCACCATCTACATGTTCATTTACATCGGCTGCCGTTACCGAAAATGCTGGGCGGCTAATATTACTAAGACAACAGGCTTTGTTCAGCCTTGTGTCAAGCAAACACGCAACTGAATCTTCACACCATCCGAGCTTGGCCAATTCTTAATTCAGCTCCAGCAACTCTTGATGCCGCTCGCGCCTGTTTGACGCAGAACCTGAATTAGTTAACAGACCGGCCTAGAAGGGCGAAGCAGTTGTTTGTATCCGAACCATGTCGCATTCACTCGGCTGCTGCGGCTCTTCGTGGGTGTGATTCACAGTCATGATGATTTGATCCACGTCATTGTTCATCCAGCATGTATAACTTATAACAAATGTCCTATGGCTGACTTGCTACAAACGGGAGCTACATTCGCTGTTACAGCTTTTCTTTCCTTGAACGAGTACGCGTTCGTCACGAGCTTCTTCACTGATGTTGATCTAGACAGCGCACTGCTACGAGACAAGATCAAAAAGAACAAAAAACATACAACAGCCGGTGTTCGCTGATGGTCACCCACTCAACTACTAATCTGCCTCTCATTGGCTTGACGATGGGAGAGCAGACGGGA